TGTGGCACACGGAAGCTACACGGAAAAAAGAGACTTATATAGAAGTTTCCAAACTTATAAAACTCAGCAATGGTGTTTCTAGCTTAATATTTTAAAATAAATATTTTATCATGATATACAATATATTTATTTATATACATATAGGACTCTGTTGTAAAACGATCTTACTTGCCACAATCCTACTAAAACATCTCGTTCACTCCCCCATTAATTCCCATCGGTTTTTAACGTTTGCTCTTTGGCCTTATACAGGAAGACGTCACCAAATTTGGTGTGTGAATCTCCCATAACGATTCCAGATCTTAGATTAAAACAAAAAGGGAACACAGCACACATGAACATAATTTTAAAGCTTGCTAAATCCTGTAACTTTTATCGACTGAAAGTCATTAATTTTAGCATAGATCACTTAGATGTAAGTTCTCATTGAATAATATTTAAAGTTTAAAAATACCATTTTAAGGTTATGCATATACCTACTAAGTCAAAGAGTTTTGTCGTTTCTGCTTTCACAAATCCGGCGTCCAGCATTAATTTCGTCAACAAACCCAATAAACGGAAACTTTTCTACAAGATATAACAGTGTTTAGATGTATTTTACTCCGAAGAAAGAAACCACAGTAACACGACAATGACGTTTACTTGTTTACAAATTTTGTGACGTCACAATCATGGTAGACAGCTTTTTTTGTGTTTAAAAAGCATACACTAAAAAACTATTTCAAATTAAATTACTACAGCCATCTTCTAATTTTATGAAGTGAAATCGATGTATTTAGGTTCCTCATACCAAAAATTATAAGGAATAAACATTTGTATAGTACAATTTGACATGAGTCATCCAAACACGTTGCATGTGCACTCAATATAACAATATTGCGTATATTCTATGTTATAAAGATAAACAGTGCCTTCGGTGCTTTTATAAACAACACAAATAGTTCAAGATCATATAACAAATGTCACGGCAACACTTTTCATTCGTAAAACTATAAAATCATTTTTATCTCAAAAATCACGGTTTGCCGTGAATGTTAGTTACTGATTCGCCATTTTCTATCAAGAAAAGGACAACAATACAAATCAGCCGTCTGAAGAGAGAGAAAAGAAAACGCAGTCGGCTGCAAAGTGAAGCGGACTCGCGCCGTTTCGTTCGCGCTGCGTTGAAGCGCACAATTTTGTCTAGCTCGCGCGATTGAATGGTTATTACAGAAGTGTGCGTGTATGAGAGTTGCTTATGTAGTTGAGTCGGATCATATTGTATTTGATGCTAGTATGAGCGCATCGTATCTTCCCTTTTTGTTTTAATCTAAGTTCCAGATATATTAATTCTATGAATATTTATAATACCAATAATATACATATATTTTTTTAAGCACTTAAGTGCTAGATGTTTAAATCTACCAATAATATGTTTCACACATACTGCCCATAATCGCCTCTCGCCAGCAAGAGCCACTTCTACGCTTATAGTATAAATTAGCACATTCAAAATTTTTGATTGACTGCAAAATTAAGTTACATACTTGTCTACGAAGAAAAACTAAATTTTAAAATCTCCAATGATAATTTCGAATATTCTTATTTCTTTGTAAATTTTTCAACAGGCACAACCTTTCGTTGAGCTAATATATTAGACAAAAAAAAATATAATTTCATTTTAATCAATATGCACCTACTAGTCATTATGCAATATCACATGCATGCGTCACTCGCTCTGATTTAATAACACGTATATTTCATAAAATATACAAACCACTCATAGCTAGGGAGCTGGTGGCAGTATTTTTATATGATTTTTTATATGTCTGGCAGAGGTAGATAATATTAGAGTAGGTACTAAGTAAAATACTCATTATAAACCATTTCTGCCATTCATTAATTACTCCAATGTCAAATAGGAGCTTGCGAAAAATGGTAATAAAAATAAGTGTCATAAACGATATTATCGCTTTTTGTCAATAGGCTTAATACATTGTATTTAATATTAAAAGAAACTAGTGGCAGAGGTTGTTCCTGCTGTGTTTTAGAGTTTTTTTTTCTAAATATTATGATAAAAAAAATACTTCATCGTCAAGCAGACTAGAATAATTATTGAAATTATAAAAGAGATAAAAAAATACTGCTGCCACTATGATGATGTTGCATTAATAATCTGTATTGTTGAAAATTAAAAAAATATATATAATAATAATTTAATAATAAATTATTTATCAGAAGTATAACAATGAAAAAGACAGGAAATAATCGACGCTGTCATTTACGTTAATTAGGTAGGCAGAAGTATTTTACTACCTGAGGACAGCTGCAAGGGGGGCTGCTACACACTAATATTATTTGTGTATATTATATTTGTACGAATTCAAAAGAAAGTTAGAAAGAAAAGGTACTTTAAAAACCGAGAATGAAGGCCACAGAGAGAAAGAGAGAAATATAGATGCTCCAAAACACGTTAGACCCTCCAAACAAAATCAGAGTTGTAGATGTCTGCCACCTTTTTCTTACATTGACAAATACTCTATAAAACATACAATTATTTTTTTAAAGACTATGGAATGATATATGTAGTTCCGATAATTTTTTATAGTTTAACTAGCTGACCCAGCGAACTTCGTACCGCCATAAAAATAGGGACAGGTGGTAGAAGAGTGAAAATTTAGGGTTGTATGTATTTTTTAATATCACATAATAAAAAAAAATTGTCCAAAAAAAAGTTTTTAGGGGTGTGTCACGTAGTGTTTCCATCAATTTCCTGGGATAACCTTCCTCCTAACCCATATGAGAACACTCGTTACAATACCCAACAGTTTGAATTTTGGCGCGAAGGCGCATTGTAGGTTTCAGAACACTACGTTACAGTTGGACAACCCTTATCACTTAAGGATATGAAAAATAGATAGTAGCCGATTCTCAGACCCATGAAATATGCATATAAAATTTCATAACAAACGGTCAAGTCGTTTCGGAGGAGTATGGTATGGTAACTAACATTGTGACACAAGAATTTTATATAATAATAATGTTTTATTTCAGATACTAGATCCATAAAATGTTAGTAACAATTAAACCTTAAAAGCTATGTTAGTACATTTTAAAAACAAAGTTATTTCATATAAATACCTTCTGAGGCACCGGTCACATGAACATATAAGATAATTATTTTTATAAAAACTCCCAACATCCTGACTTCTGCCGGCTTTAGTTTCACTATCTATTAGATGTATGTAATAGATATACCTACTTGATGACACAAACGATAATATAATTTAAAATGCGATTCAACTAAGAATAGGACCGACTGGGCGCCATATTGTGATGTCATAGCTGTCAATTCAAACGAAATAGGTAGAGTGAGCAAAAAAGTTTTTATTTAATAAAACTTATTTGCTAAGATTAAGTGAGAAAAAGCATTAGATTTTTTAATAACATTTATTTACTAAGATTGAGAAATAAACCCCGATTTTTAAAAATATTTATTTATTAAGACTGTGAGAAAAAACATTAATCAGAATCTAGCTCTTCTGTTCCGCTCATCTCTGCATTTCCGACGGAGTAGTTATGAATAATCATGCACTATTACTAGATCACATACGAACATGCATCCTTTATGTAAACGAAAGTTTGAAATCGAGTTTCTGATCGCAACTTAAAGTGACATTTGGTTGACGATTTAGGTTATCAACCATTCATGGCCAAAGCTCAAAAAGTAAAAAAAAATATCATCCGATATTAATTATCAATATTTGTTATTGTTTGTTTACAAATGTTTGGTTTTTATTCTTGAATTAGCGGAGTGCTAAAAAAGGGTTCAAAGATTTTCTTTGCAAACCGTACTTTTCAAGCGACATTTGACAGATAGAAGTCATTGGCTTTCCTATTCTTATTTGAATCGCATTATATGACATGTTTTGGCTTTACAATTTCGGAATTACTTAGAAAAAAATCAAGAGCTACCTAAGCTACCCTATTTTTTCTAGTTGACATAGGTGACTTACTACATTACGTCTTGGTATCAACGATGATTGAATCATATACCTAAATTGCCACCATCTCCCTAGCTATCACGGGAGAAAAAAAAAACAAAAAAAAATGTTTTATTAATCATCAATAATGGCGGTACCGAAGCTTCCCCAATTGCTAGGTAAAGGAAAAAAAAAGATTACAATTATTAACTAGGTATAATAGTTTTAGCGTTTTGTAACAAATATCCATAGTTTTAAATTTATCACATTAGATAGATTTCTTTATACATCTACTATACCTATTTATGTCAAAAACTGACTTTTCTTATAAAGCACTGAACATAAAGATTCGTAACATTCAAACAGTTTTCATTAGCATTACAGAGGCCCAAGCACGAATTTTGACAGTATCGTAATCGTATCGCTAACGTAAAATTTTGTATGGAGAAAGCTAGTTTGTTCTTACGTCCGATAGAGGCGCTGCTTAGTTTTCATAGAAACTTTGACGATGCGATACGATAACGGAGCTGTTCCTGTATCCTGTTTTTACGTAGCATCAATATAATGCTTTCTATTTTACGCGACAGCAAGCGCGGGTGTGTAACTACGGACTAGGTGGTTCTGTATTCATTCGATTACGTCTCATTCTACTCATTAGTTTTTCCTTACTCAACCTATTTATGCTTCTAAGCCAACCAAAATTTTCACTTTTTAAATTTCTTATTCATCACATAATCATTTGTCATCCCTCTTTACTCAAGTACATCCTCATGTCATCCAAGATTTTTTATGCAAAATAATGGCATACAAATATTATATCTCGACTCGACTAATGGTAAACTGATTTTACAGCCTTAGCTTAGACGCTAGCGATATCAGAGTAACACTAGTGGGTCGCCTACTTTAAGCCCATCCTCTACCCATAGAGGTATAAGAATAGAGTGGGGAAGGCTAAAAGTGTCCGTCTAGTAGAAAGAGAAAGAAGATGAGAGACCGCTAGCTATCTCTCTCTCTTGTGACGCATGGCATCCAATGGTATCACATCGAAATAGTAAGATGCTTATGGTTGCCAATGCGCATGCGCGATTAGAGAGAGAAAGCTAGCGGTCTCTCATCTTCTTTCTCTTTCTCATTTTCTACAAGTGGAAGAGAGACACTTCCGCTTGTAGTAGTCTATATCTCCCCTACTCTATTCTTATACATCTATGCCTCTACCTCGTGAAGCCCTCCGCTTACAGACGGGTACCGCACCCGAATGCCAATATTATATTTTCCCACTATAACAGCATCAAGCTGAGACAGGGTTCTGATTGGCCATCTCTTAGTATTCTTATGTCTTCTAAATGTCTGGGGGTCCATTTGCAGCAAATTTTCTAAATCTCGAATCAAGTAAAACTATATATAACCCATAGATAAATGTCAAATCTTCAATGTCAAATTGGACACTATTGCATGGACTTAGTTTTATTTGATTCGAGATTTAGAATATTTACTGCAAGCAGCTCTTAATGTTGTTTTTTTAAAAGTGTATGATAGCCAAAAAAATCTTTTTCTTTCTTTCAACACGTGTAAGACTCAACGTTTTTGTGTGTCTAAACATAGGCGTTAGTTTGAGGGTCTTACGACTGCGGCCTGGTGGGAGCGTCACGTAGCTGCAGCACGTGTTCCACTGGCTCTGGTCGCCCGTCGGCGCCCACGCGGGCCGGCTTCACTACGCCGGAGGAGACCATCTTGTCGAACAAGTTCACGAGCTTCATCGCCTCATATTCTTTCTAAAGGAACAAATTCATCATAAGCCTATTAATGTCCCGACTGCTGGGGTACAGGCCTTCAATATGGATGGAATAGGGAGTGCGGGCCATGACCCACCATGCGAGCCCCGTGCGGATTGGTGGGTGCTAACGACTGATGCAGCCGGAACCAAAGGCTTAACATGCCTTCCGAAGCACGGAGGAGCTCGAGATAGTAATTTTTTGGTCACCCATCCAATGACTGACCACTGCGAAAGTAGCTTAACTTCAACGATCGCAGCCGAAAGCGCTAACCACTTGCGCCATTGAGCTCCTCAAGGAACAAATTACAACTAAACAATAGGTATAATCTTTAATCAGGGCCGGATTTAAGGAAGAGCAGGCGAGGCTGTGGCCCAGGGACCACGAGAGGGCCCCCCAAAACAGTGATACAAAACAATGATACAAAACAATGGGGTGCAAATTGTAATTAGCCCAGTCTTGAATTAGGGGCCTACACTCCTTTGTTGCCCCAGGTCCCACACCTGACAAGTCGTCTCATTCAATTTATATCGCAAAAATGTGATTGAATAAACCTTATAATTTTTATTATTTTTAAAGCATGTAACTGCTTGATATTTAAATCTAAAGAAAATATAACTAGAAAAAAATCCACGCGGACCAGGCAGCAGACGGGACTCGAACCCGCACCCTTCGCAATCCGGGCGAATGCACTGACCAATTATGCTACCGCGGCCCTCACGGACCGCGTCGAAATTCTTTCTAGCTATTCTTAAGCTGCAAGGCAGCGCCATCTCTTCGCATTATAGGTAAACCCACAATGTCAAATGAATACTTTTACAAGTATTAAACATTTGAAAGAAGAAATAGCAATTATAGTTATAATTTTTATTATTTTTAAAGCATGTAACTGCTTGATATTTAAATCTAAAGAAAATATAACTAGAAAAAATTCCACGCGGACCAGGCAGCAGACGGGACTCGAACCCGCACCCTTCGCAATCCGGGCGAATGCACTGACCAATTATGCTACCGCGGCCCTCACGGACCGCGTCGAAATTCTTTCTAGCTATTCTTAAGCTGCAAGGCAGCGCCTAAAATAAACCTTGAATAAACCTTGTTTCATTAGTTGCTGATAAAAAATTTAACACACCTGTTTAACAAGGTCTGCATAGACTGAAACATGCGAATATGTGTTGTGCGAGTCAAAGAAGGTAGAAAACATACGTTTTAAATAGATGAACTCGTTACTTTAAACTAAACTTCAGTTAAAGACTGAATTTACAAAATTGACAAAAGTGAAGTAATTTCCCAATGCAAAACACAGTTTGAAAAATTATAACTTATTTTCTTGATAAAGATATAATTACCTACAATAGTGATCTCATATCAAGAAATCAAGCTAACCGCAAAATAATGACACATCGGGTACTATTATGTATAGATTTCCAACCACAAAATCAGTGTACTGTTACACGACAAGCAATAATCCTATTACAGTACATTAGACCGCATTGTAACCAATAAAGCTAATTACAACAAGTAGTGTATGGTTTGATTTCCACATATTCATTTGAAAATGCGACAGGACAAGTACTTTCCGAACCACACGCAATGTATTATAAGGAACCGATTGTATTCTAAGGCGGCGAATAAAATTTTATTATTTAAATAAATGTAGGGTGTCCGTCGTTACACATCACAAAACCTAAACTTCAAAACTAAGAGCGTTGCCTCATACGCACGACGGAATGACGACACGATTTCAAGAGATAGTCCATATCCTGTAATACGTCATACAGAAATGGCTGCCGACGAAAATCTACTAGTTTTCCACCAAAAATATACCGACGTGTGCAGAGGAGTGATATGTAAAATGTTTTTGATTCGAATCAATTATGTCCCGAAGCTCTCACTCCGAGCAATGATCGATCAAGATAGATTAGTTCGCGCAAATTAGAGAAGATCTCGCAACTTCCCAACCAATATGCTATTACCGTCCGCACCTGGAGATGAGAATTACGTACTACATATCAGCCAATTTGATTCCTGACCCACCAAAAGCACATTAATTTTCTTACAACCGTCTCAAACCAATAAGGTAGATTTTTCTTAAATGTATGTGTCCTTAGAAAAAAAAATCACGTGACAGATTTTGCAGACATCCTGTGACATAATCTTTTAATTTTTTTAATGTCCAGAAATCGAAAAAGTTTATGTTTAAAACTAGCGGCCGCCCGCGACTTCGCCGCGCTGTTTTTTTTCTAAAAGTAGCCTAAGTTACTTCTTATTACATCAGCTACCTGCAAATAAAAGTGCCGTCAAAATCGGTTCAGCCATTTCAGAGATTAGCCGGAACAAACAGACAGACAGACAAAAATGGTAAAAAGTGTTATTTTGGTGTATGTAATATACAGGGTATTACAAAAATACAAATAAAGCTTGAAGGGCGTTGAGGTACATCATTTAAGGAGTCTTCTCTATTAACTTTTTATGAAAACAGTTGTTTTTAATGATTAATAAAAATATCGATCATTGTAAGATACGTCACTAGTTGGAGGACCATTAAAAATACTGTTTTTATAAAAAGTTAAAACTTTATGCAAATATTTTAAGAAAATTAGAGAAGACTCCTTATTTGATGTACTTCAACGTCCTTCAAGCTTTATTTGTATTTTTGTAACATCCTGTAGTATATTCATATACATGTAGTAAAAAGCGGTTATTTCAATATTACAAACAGACACTCCAATTTTATTTATATGTATAGATAAAAAGGCGTTATTACCTGTTCTTCGGTCATTCCTTCCAGCGGGTTGGGTCTCGGGGGTCGCGTGCAGCCCACCACCGGGTCGATGTGGGGCTGAGCGTCGCGGTACTCTTCGGTGTCGGAGTCGTCGCTACTGGACGAGTAGTCGGCTCCGCGACCCCCGCCCAGCAGACCTTTCTGGGCCAAGTGGCCCGCCGCGTTCCCGAAACCCGTGTACTTCACCATTCGCCCCACTAGTAAACGACATACTTATGTTAATAGACCTTCTTCGAAATTAGCAGAATCTGATGAAATTAAAATTGTGTCTAATACCTACAGTTATTAAAGAAAAACATTGAACAAATTAAAACAAAGACGATATCTATATATCGTGGATAACGGAGACTTTACTACTGGACGAGTAATCGGCCGACCCCCGCCCAGGAGACCCTTCTGGGCCAAATGGCCCGCAGTGTTCCCGATACCCGTGTTTTTCACCATTCTCCCCACTTATGAAGGAAATATTTATGTTAACCGCTCATCTGCAAAATTGCGTCTAATACATTAATTTTCAAATTTTTATTGGAATTAAAACAGACCTGTTGATATGTATATTTTACGTCGTAGACAAATTGTAGATTTAGCTGTACATACATACTGGCTAATAGTTATTTCGAAATAGGGAGTTGTTTTGTGTTACGGCGGGGCGAGTGGCCGAAAAATGCAACTGTTCTATATTTCGGAAGCTGACGTTTAGCAGCATTAGTACTACATTCGCATTAGTCCCTTCCCTGTCCGTATTAACAAATTTTAGATAGTAAATAACCAATTTGCAAACCTTTTTCCTTGCAAAGTATAAATATAAACTCTGCAACTAAATCTCGGACATTAGTAACAGGCGTTGTAAGCAGTCTGCAAAGCATGTTGCGTAAGGTGTCTCCTTTCTCTGGCGGTGAAGAAACGTCCCGAAGCGGTGGTAGCACGACTTGACGCAGATACTTCCTATGCGTATGACATGCGCGTACGCTTTTCAACATCACAGACATAATCGGAGAAAGTTCGTCAAACTGTCGCTCAGTCGTCTATTAGGAAATAAAGGCAAAGTTATATCAAGCTAAAAATATTCATAGCAAAATATTATTGAATCTCATTCATATTTTTTTAATATTAAATAAGATTTTCAAATACCTACAGATAGCGCAGAAAGTCGATAATTCAACAGCTCCACTAAAGCTTGCAAAGCATCCATAGTCCTGCCATCATACTCATACAGGCATTCTTCATCTTTACCCAGGATTGGAGTCAATTCTTTGTAAAACTTTGATGGAACACTGAAAACATTATAACATCAAAACAGTTGTAATTGTTGAACTTGCTCAATTATATTTTATTTCTCTTTAAAAATAAAATCTCACCTAGTAAGTAAGTTACCAACATTGCTACGCAAGTCCATTAACTTTGTTTCATTGGTAGTAGAGGCACATAGCAAAGTGCTTAAGACGGGCATGAGTTTTAAATACATAGCCTCGTCACAATCACCCAATTGTTCTGGGCTCATAATCAAATTGAACTGCACTTTAAGAATTTCACATGCTATAGCTTGTTGATTATCCTGCAGAATTAAATGTCAAATATAATTGTAAATTAAATGCTGCCTGCAAATTGTTGTACAGTTTGGCAGATATGTACAAATTAGAATGTAATTCATATTGAAAATAAACTTAATAAAATAAATAAATAAAAAGATAGTGGTGAAAACTATTTTTCAACAATTATTGTTGTTAGGTTGGTGCAACAGGACTCCGCCTTCTGCTTCAAAAGATATTCGGTTTAATTCCTGGTTTTGGCCTTTATTGGTATACTGAATACATGTATTTGTTTATAAGTTATGGTTGTTTATATACATATAAACTTGTATATATATGTATATATAATTTAGTTTGCATAGTACAAACTTTGTTTGACTGAATATATTATTATGGACTTACAAATATAAATAAGTACCTGAAGAAAAGGATGATTTCTTCCTTTAAACAAGTTTCCATTTTCTGCTTCGGATGTATCATCAGTGACTAACATAGCTTCTTTCAACAATTCATTGAGACAACTTATTAAATAATCCATACCATGGAGCTCACAATTTACTTTCTTCTTTATATCAGGTCTGAATGCAGTCAGGATGAAAAGCAGTTTCATATCATAAAGCATTATTTCATCTTTGTAAGGAACATCTTTGTAAACTCGAAGTCTTCCAATCAACGCTTGGGCAACACTAGTGTGAGCGCACAAACTCCTGGCAACTTCACTATTAAATGTGGAGTTGCATAGACACTTGAGTGCTTCGAGTGCTATTTCTTTTTTTAGCAAATCTTTTGACTGTTCTGAAATATCTTCAAAGTCAACATAATTATATAGACCAGCTTTTTCCACCAAAATATTAATCCATTTCTCACAGAAAAGTTGATCTAAGTCACATTTATCACGGCTGTAAATGAAATGTTTAGTTAGGAAAAACCATCAAATAATCTGTAACAATGGTCTGTTAACTAACTAATATTGCGTATTCAAACAAAAACAACAATTATTCAATAATTTCTAAAGCAGTAAATCCAACAGCATGTTGACTATTACAGTAGATCCGCGGTAATCCGGACCCTGTATAATCAGACGCCCCCTGTAATCTGACATGCTTATCACTGTTGATTTGCACATCAAATCAATTGAAATTGATTTTTATTTGTAATTTGTCAGATTACAAGGTACTCTTAATCCAAAAAATTCAGACTATAGAGGGTGGTCTTAGACAGTAATCTGACAAATTCGAGAATCCAACATAGCCCTGCAGAATGTTTGTCAGATTACTGTGCGTCTACTGTTTATTTAATTTACACACCTACCTCAATATCCTTGCAGCTGATAGACAAATATTATGAATTGATTCAAATTCTTTTCTTTGTAAGTGTTGGAATATCGCTGTCCATACTACTAACTTGTTATTTTTGGTCAATGTTGGAAAAGTGAATATGGCATCATTCTGTAAGCAGGAACTCAAATAATTAGTAGCTGTTATGATTTTTTGTTATGAAACTCAATTTTATTCCGTAAACCATAAGAGGAGAGAGGTAAAAAAATGGTTGTTAACAAAATTAAATGTTTAATGAGAAATATACTTTGAAATAACCTGCGGCTATATTATTTTAATTACTAATGTTTAAAGAAAACATAATAAGTTAGGGTCATTGTGTATCCTTAATCTGCTAAACCAAGTATGATGATGCCCTTTAGTGTAGACAGAATGAGGTTCTTAGAGGAAGAATTAGGCACATTATTAGAGCGAAACTACTTCAAGGGGTAAATTAAAAATGAAGGGGAAAACATAGCTAGTAATATTGTAGTAGAAAACAACCAATTATTAAAATTACGCAACAGAAGTTACCGGTGTTCGGTAGTTAAAGGATAAAGTAACATGCCGTCGCTAATCTCCGTATATCATTAATTTAGCACTTAAACTTCTTTTGAATAACTAGCAAAAACTTAATTTGGATTTCCTACCTTTGTGTTAAATCTTCTTACAACATTTTCTACTTCTTGTAAAACTTGACTTGTACTTAAAATTTCAATATCTTCTTCATTCATCTTGAATTATCAATAAATTCAATCAATCACACCGTTTGCAAAAACAAATAAATGTGAAAAGAATGCTGGTGGGTGGAATCAATGCAATGATTTTGATCTCCTTGGCTGCGTTCCAAACCTACGCTCGAGGTGTCAAGTTTGACATAGGTTTCATACATTTCATATCAAAATTTAAACGTCAGAGTAAAAAGTGGCACTCTGATCGTTGATTTGGAACTCAGTTTTTGACTTGAGTCTTCTATAAGCCGGTATTTACTTTACTTTGGATATTAGCTGCATGTCATTTTGACAGCGGATTATCCTTATCATCTCTTTAATGAATGAAAAAGAAAGACTGTTGTCAAGCTGTAAATGGTGCCAATTCTGACGTGATTCTCTAAACTGAAAAATAAATTTAACATCAGTCTGTCCTTTACATTCTGTATAGAGAATGACAAGGATATACTGCTGTCAAAGGAGACGGTATAGTTTTGTATGGGAGGTGGTAGTGAGTAACCGGCAGCATTGGCATTTATATCACTTAAAGCTCATATTTTTTTAAATCATTTACTAATTTTTCAGATTTTTTTGTACCCCCGTTTTTTTGTAATTAATTATCAAAGTTCCAGGAAATAATTAATCTGGCAGCATTATACTCAATTCTTAAATATGCAGATAGTGCAAATCCTATTATCGATTATCGATACTTTTCATTAGGTAATCGCTTTATATGCTCATTCTATTAATGAATGTTAATTACAATTATATAATGTAATCCGGGTGCTGTCATAGATAGCAGTCGTGCCTTTGGGGTTTCCCGAGGGTTGGATTCAAGCAGGCCATAAAAATCGAAATGACAAAACTATAGGATTTGCAGCGTTGTCAATATCAAGATACTGACTCCATTTAAAATGGGTGCAGAGTAAGAAGATGACACACATCCATCTATACTCATATTGCACCAAAGCCAAAATAAATTGGGAGCAGGGTGGCAAGTGCCGGCCGTGTGATGCCCACAGAGTAGAATAGTATCACCCTGTTTCCTCTAATGGGTGTCATAGAAGGCGACTAATGGATCAGCTAAGGAGTTTTTACCACCTTATTCTGCGTCCACCAATCTGCATTTGGAGATTGGGCAGTAGCAGAAACGTACTTTCTTAACAAGGAGTCTGATTAAAAAGGCTGTGATGATGAGGGTAGGAAGTTGATGATTTCCTTGCATTATATTGCAATATGTTATTAATTTAAAATTATTCAATTAACAATCGTGCAAAGTAAATAATTATGTAAGAATTTATGAAGTCAATGTCCAGTAGACTTTGTGTTTACATTTATGCATATCTGCATTTTCGTGATTCTGTCTATTGTTTATCATAAATAATCGTAGCTTTATAAGCCACGTTTAGCTATGAATCTCTTCACTTAAAAACCATTATGATTTTTAAACAAAAGTGGAACAAACCCTTTATTACCCTATACTACAAAAATAATGATTAGTCTTATTTTGAAATAATCTTGATATATAATCGAATAGTAATATCTTCTATTATCGATTACTGATTGTATTAGTTATAACACAACACTGATTTTCTGTGCGTTTGACACATAAAAAGTGAGTTCCTTCTGCTTTGTTCGTTTCTGTTCGCGGTATTGTTGTTTATTTTTATATTTATTTGATCTTTTCTACTGTAAACTGGCTACTTTTATACTGACTACGATATTCCCGCTTATTCTGTTGACCCCTTCTCTGTCTTCTGGATTCCCGTTTGCTTATTATTTGGATTTTCAATTGCCCCGGTCGGATATCACGACATTTTGTCAATGTAAGTAAATCTTTTCGAAAACTCTATTCACTGCTAAGAAAGAAAGAAAGTAAAACTGAGAGATAAGTTAATTACTTATCTCATTTCTTTGATTTTCACCGGAGTTCTTGATAAATAATACGTGTTCTGAGATTCATTAAATTAATAAATAGTTCAACATTGTGACCGGTGACATTTGAAAATGCTCTTTATCTCATTTTAAAATGACTACTTTTTGTTAGTTAAATTCTCAACAGTGCAACTCATTATTGGCGTAATCGTCGCGAAGCTAATAATTAATAAGAAGACAAAGAGTCACTTTTCTCTTACACTTTCTATTCACATATTGTTGTTCATTTGTCATTTGATTTCAGATATCATGGCATGTATGAATTGCCACATACTGTTGAGGCAGAATATACAATTACATGAATACAATGTTACTAATCTAAGTTCCGAACTTGTATCTATTGTTGAAGAATGGTGTGGTCTTGAGGTAAGTGCAGATTATTTAAATAGCATAGTGTATGTACTCCTGATTGTGATATAGAGGACCATTTAACAATGCTATAAAATTCTTATAACAGGTGTCTATTAATGATCAATTATGTCAGGCATGTCTAATGCTTGTGATAAGAGAGGCAGCTAATCGTGATAAGGACCCTAGTCATCACCCGGAGAGGGAGATTGGACACTCCTGTGTTTATGTGTGCTGTGGAGTATCACTATCTACACAAAGTGAGCGGCGTCATCCCAGACTGCCATCGAGGAGTGTAGCACCTAAATTATATAGAGAACCAAATATTTCCTTGGATGGTATGTATGATATTATATTTTAGCTATTTGTTTTTTTGCATTTTATATTATTCAGATTTGATTTGTAACATTAAAATTAGGTATATTAGAATGTTTATAGGTTTCATTTCTATAAGAAGAGATCTTTAAGACAACCTTTTGATGGACAGGCAAGACTTAAAACTTCTGAAGAAAGTCATTGGTGTACTTTTTCTTGAAATATTAGACCAATAGTTTATATATTATTTTTTTAATGTCTGATTAACATAGAACAAAAAAATAAAACATTTCCTTAATTTTCAGGTTTCTGCAAAAGCTTGGGTATGCCATGCTTGCTGGATGAGAGCCTATGAAAACCATCCATTACAAGACGACATAATTGAAATACCTCCAATTGCATTCGTCGAGTCCCCATCTGACAGGAATGCATTTCTTGTACTGGATCCAGTGGAGTTAGATTCTTCGGTTCCAGCAAGTTCAGTACTGCCTAGTTCTGAATCAAGTTCTTGGGCTGGAGCTGGAATAGCAAACCCATCACCAAACCAAAATCTTATGGAATTACCAAATTATAGACGCATATTCGATTCACCAAACCACTGCTTCTTTTTTAGATGGGATATTAATTACAGAAGACGAAGATGAATAAAATGTGATTATTTTTAAAATGTTTTATTCTTTCTGAAGAATTCCTTTCTCAAAAGCATTACTGGAATTTGCAATCATAATAATTCTATGTATTGAAGGTTCCTAATGGTGATTTTCTTGTAGTTAAATGTCTTATATTTAAGATAAATTGAAAGCTTGTAATTTATATAAACAAATTGTCATTCAATAATGTTATTACCTAGGCATCAAAAAATATTTTTTTAATGATATTGTTTTATTTAAAATCTTCATCCATAGTTAATAACAAAGACATAAAAACAGATAGTGGTTTTCACCACATTTATGGAGTACTTTAAGGAGTGCTGTGTGTATAATGTAATAAATATATTTCAATAATTTTGTGACTGTCCTCCATTTTTAACTCTATCGAATATATTTAGTTACCTATGTTTATTATTACAATAATCAATTAGATTTTCACTTAATTAGCAAAAATGCCTAGATACGAGATATTAACCATTTGTGTATCATAAAGCTAATGTTTGGCGGGAAACCTTGGATCTTCATTTTGCTATTTCAAAATGCCGTCGGAGTAGACTTTGTGTAATTACTAATTATTTTTATACACAAGCATTCGAATTGACTATCAGCTAACGACGAATCATTGAAATTAAGCTTTCTATAAATCACTTCACATTTGAATGCAAGCAGAACGCATGTATTCTTCATATGTTCTATTTTTATTTAGAATATAATTACTGAAGACATGGCTGTATGGGCGTGATTTCTTTGCCATCGCTTCAAATAAAACAGCACAGAAGTACTGGAGTGGCCAGCATAAAGACAAAATGAAAAACTTCGCTTGTAATTTAAAAATAAACGGAGGTAAAATAAAAATTGAAATTCATAGGACATTCTAGAAAAAAAATCAGCTTTTCAATGATATACTTCTCATGGCTGCCGGTTTTTGACTACCACTTTTATACCGTCTCCTTTAAGTTTAGGTTTAGAGAATCATGCTAGAATCGACACCAATACCTGCTTTAACATAATAAAATAGACTTGATACTTATAATGAAACTCTAATGTTAAAAAAGATTTGTAAAAAAAATAAGACGATAGCTTTATGGATATGCTTTTGCCAAGAAGCTTATATACAACACTGGATATTGCATGTAGAACTTCTGTGTGAAGATGAGTTCATTAACCCCATGATATGTTTTTTATCTCTCTCACACACTATCTGAAATTAACATGTTAAATACAAGAAATTCCAATCAGAAAGTGAAAATAAACAGAACTATGCAAGATATCAATCAGTTTTACAATCTCCAGAAGTCCTACTCTTGTATTACTATTATAAGATGAGTATGACAAAATCTAACCAACTACTTTGAAATCAATATTTAAAACTAAATAATAAATACGCCCTTTATTTCCCTGTTTGGTGGTTGCTACCATTTTGGTATAATAGCAACACTAATTAAAAAATCAACTCAAGAATATTCCCATCTGTCAAAAAAAATCTACCGCTTCGAATGTTTAGATTATTATTAAAAAGTGTTAAATTGTTCAATTTGCTATTTATAATGTGTATTGTGTTGTGTGAGATTGCAGAAGTGTTTGGGAACCAAATTCCAGCACTAAATTTCACAGGTAAGTCTATTACATTACGCCAATACCGAAATAAACATATTCCTATATTTTTATGTTGTAATCATAATAAAACGTTAGTATTTATAAATCACAGTGTCCTGAGGCTATAAATTAACGTTATTCTTGTTTTATTCACTACATTTGGTACCATATTCAGCAGTTTATTAAATTAAAATAATATAAATTTTGGTTTTGTAGGGTAACCATTATCACTACACTTGAGATATTTTGAGAAAGTTAAAATACATAAGTATTATTGTAAATATTAATTACAAAGTTCAAAATATGAAAATAAGTTTATAATAAATACTGTAGTAGATCATGTTGATTAGATGTAGAAAACCTATTTAATAACAGCTATCTAGCAGCGGTCTTATACCTTTGTTTATGTTTCAGCTTCCCGAAAGATGTCATTAAAAGAAATTCTTGGTTGTCCATTATACTGTCACAAACGCTCTCGAAACGGAACCGCGAATGTGCACGAGATCGAATTTGCCAGAGCCCCGCGGATCGCAATAGAAGTCGAGTAAGGCGGCTCATTCTAAAATGAGCCTTATGCTATGCGACGTAAAGGAGAAAGTGCAACGATATCTGCACTTGTTTACAAGTTATGCGTGTTACTTGCGTAGGTATTTCGTACTCGCGGGTGCTAGGTAATTCTCAATTTAACAGGTACTTTCTAGAACTTCGACTTTCGACGACCTCCGTGGTCGAGTGGTTTGTACGCCGGGTTTCATAATGTCGCCGACTCGAGAGGTCCCGGGTTCAAATCCCGGTGGGGACAGATGTTTGTGTGATGAATACGAGCATTTGTACTCCAGTCATGGATGTTTAATATGTATTTCTATAAAAAAAAATATACTTATATATGTACAGTTTATGTGTTCTATCCGTTACCCTAGTATCCCACAACACAAGCCTTATAGTGCTTACTTTGGGGCTAGGCTAATTGGTGTGAGTGTTGGAAATATTCATTTATTTACTTTCTAGAATGCATCGATCGGCGTATATAAGGGCGATTGGCGCCGCGCAGAGACAGTTGAGTTTCAACAGCGATTTCGGAGCGAATCCAAAGGCGATCAAAGTGCAACAAAAGTGTTCAAGTGAGATTGTTTATAGACTTGTATAGTGAAATACAGTGTTTAGTGAGTGTTTTGTAATTAACATTGTGTGTTAATTGTGTGAACTGTGTGGTGAATAAAGAACTGTCAATCGTGAACTGGTATATAATTTCGAACCCCATCCCGACACATAACAATACCATTAAAAGGTCAATTTTATTTATCAGCCAAAATATGTAGCTTAGAGTTTCTAGTCCGTTCTTAGTAAAAAGCATTTCTGGCGATTTTAGAAAGGGTTTGCATATTCTTTCTCGTTAATTTTTTTATAAACGTTTTTGACATTGCTTAATATAAGACGCAACTAATATGAATTAAATGTTTGTACTTGTAAATTTTATTACTATTAAATAATGTGTTCCCAAGTTCCTATCAACTCCAACGCTTTGATTTATAAATTGTTTAGAGACGATACCAATAAGTATGTATCCTAAACGTATATTCCAACATGGTCACCCTTAGAAAGAGATAACAAACATATGTGACGTCATTCAAGGCCATATTTTTTCACTTCAAGGTATTGTTTGCACTGCAATCTCCAGTGTTGTATATAAGCTTCTTGGCTTTTGCCCTTCCCGTTAAGGAAGAATAAAAAAAAACTGTTGTCAATTATTTAATGTCAGAGGCTGTATGGGCTTTAGTTCCCCTTGCCTTCCTTAAAAAGGGAGAATATTTAAAAAAATATATATAATGTCACTTCAAAACGATCTTCGAATGGCTAAAAGTTATTGCTTTCTTCTATAATTTAAAAATTTATGTTAAGAAATTTTCATCAAACCCATAAAATGGCTACTCTAGCTGTGTCGGGCCATTTCGCTGCAAGAATCTTAAGTAAGACACATTAATTAATGTAAATGGAAGATTGTTTACAACTCTTACATAATTGAAATTTAGTACTCGAAAATAACAAATTCTTTATTTTATAAAACGTCCTCAAGCATTCTGTTATTATATTATTGATCATAAATACTATTATGTACCTTTTTTACCAGCGAAACATGGCGCAATGGGGCTTGTTTACATCCCTTCGGCGCAGTACAGTTCAGAAGTCAAACCAAATCTGGCTGCTTACAAACGGGGCACGGGTGGACGAAGCAGCTTCAATGGCATTGTTGCAACCGTGTTCGGGTGCACTGGATTTGTTGGTAGATACGTGTGCAATAAACTTGGGAAAATTGGATCTCAGGTAAATAAAAAGAATATAATGCTGGGCTATAAGACCTATTTTTCTTTGAAGTACCTAAATTACTATAAATAAAAAGTAACTACTTGTAGTCCTAAAATATTAACTATTAGTTGATGACTACACAATTATTTCTCCACTGATTCTGTTTATCCTTATTCAAGCTTTGAATGGTAACAGAAATTTTCATTTTGTAGATGATCCTCCCTTACCGATGTGACTTTTATGATGCTCAAAGACTAAAAGTTTGTGGAGACTTGGGCCAAGTATTATTCAGCCCATTTGACTTGAGGGATGAGGAATCTATTGCAAAAGCAGTACGTTATTCAAATGTTGTGATCAATCTTATTGGGAGAGACTATGAAACTAAAAATTTCAAGTATAAAGATGTACATGTGGATGGTGCTCGTCGACTGGCAAGGTAATATTCTAATTTTTAAGATTGTTTCATATATTAAACCTACATTATATACTTATTATTGACTAAGAAATTTAAATATAATTATAACAAGTTGTTGTACTTATCTCAAATGGAATGGAAGGAGGTATAATGCTGTAAGGAGTTTTTTAATAAGTTATTAGTGAAAAAATCTTAAACAGGAGTGATTTTTTTTAATGCAATTATTTAGTTGTATAAAAATTCAATATATTTTCAGAATTTGCCGTGAGATGGGAGTAGAAAGATTCATCCATCTTTCTTATCTTAATGCTGAAGAAAACCCTAAACCATTGGTACTTAGCAAACCATCCATGTACAAGATATCTAAATTCCAAGGAGAGTGTGCAGTTAGAGAAGAGTTTCCCACAGCTACTATCATCCGTGCCTCAGATATTTATGGGTCAGAGGATAGGTTCCTAAGGCAAGAATCTTTTTTAATATTTTGAATTCAGACTCTCAAGCATGAACTTTGACAGCTCCGTAAACTTTGATGATCAAAGTTTCTATGAAATCTAAGCAGCTATTCAAATTGAAATAAATACATATCAATATCATATCAAATTAAACTAGTTTTTACAGGTTAATGCACGAAAACTTTATTTATTTATTGACGTTTCGCAGCCTTTTCAGGTCTTCATCGTCTTCGTCGTCGTGGTAGTTTACAGTAGTTAGGGTCAAATAAATAAACTCAAAATTACAAACAAGAATTTTAAATAAAATACTTTATTAAGTAAATTAAATAATAAATTCATACATAGACAATAAAATTTTAAAAATCTTCCAATGAAATAACCGAACGCTCAATATAATTCTTTCGAAGGTAGCTCGACAATTTTAAATAAAATCATTATTGACATTACATGACAATGCAGACCTGAAAAGGCTGCGAAACGTCAATAAATAAATATAGTTTTCGTGCATTAACCCGTAAAAACTAGTTTTATTTAATGAGTGATGTGCGTGAAAACCTAAGAAACAAATATCATATCAATTCACCTTAACACTTTTTAACAGGTGTTTTGCATCGAGCTGGAGGCATCATGCTCAACTGTTCCCTTTGTATAAAAATGGAATGGCTACAATTAAGCAGCCAGTGTTTGTATCAGATGTTGCACAGGGCATTGTGAATGCTGCTCGTGATCCTGATACAAGATGCATGACATATCAGGCTGTTGGGTATGTATACAATTGGTTTTCACTGTCTTGAAATTGAAGTACCAACAATAAAAAATTTAAGTAATTCAATTATTAAAGTAACGAAAAATAGGAGACACCAGAAATTTATTTTTTTCACTACTATCATCACATCCACCTAGCCATTGATTACTTAATTAACAGTCAAAACTATTGATGGTCTGAGACTATCCTACTTCCTACTAATTTAATAAATGTGAAAATTTGTATGTTTGTTACTCAATCACGAAAAAGCTACTGAACGGATGTGGACGAAATTTGGTACGCAAATAATTTCTGAGCCGGATTGAATTATAGGATACTTTTTATCCCTGTTTGGTTCTGTGGGATTCTCAAACTAAATTTAACGCGGATGACGTCGCAGGCGGCCGCTAGTTATGATATAAAAGCTTGAGCATGATCTCAATTAAAGCTGTAAATCACGTATATTAAGCTAGCAGACCATGGTCACGACGCGCGCATCTAACCTACTGGGTATTTAGTTGCTAATTAGTTACACTATTCCCGATTTAGTTGCTCAACACCTGTAAAAGATGCAAGCGATCTGCTAGATTAAGTCTTAACCTAGCAGACCACAATACTGTATCTTCGGTTCTCGTAAAAATATCGAAGTTCTGCAAACGGCATATTTAGTTGCTAATTAGTTGCTGTAGGACAGCATTATTTGTATTATCCCCCCATCATGCCTTAATTGCCGCACCAGCACCCACACTACCCCCGAAACACGATAAAATTAAAAAGAGCTCATGACAGAATATAAACTGCGGCGTATTTTGTTGCCAATTAGTTGCTGCAAAATAGCATTGTTTAAAAAAAATAATTATCAACCCTTAACTCCAGATCATCCCTGCAACCACCTCAGAATAGGACGATATCGGAAAATTCGCCAAAAACGCAATTAAGAGTATTCTACAAACATCCCCTAACCTCAGATGCAACCCCTCTACTCACTTAGAAACAGTAAATGGTTGAATTAGCAACAAAACATCCAGCAGTTTAAGACTGCTGGATGTTTTGTTGCTAATTACTTGCTGAAAAATAGCGTTGCTTATAGTATTTAATTATCAACCCTTAACTCCAGATCATTCCTGTAACCACCCCAGAATAGGACGATATCGGAAAATTCTCGTAGGTGGAAAATATACGCGGCATATTTAGTTGCTAATTAGTTGCTCGCCAAAAACACAATTAAGAGTATTCTACAATCATCCCCAAACCTCAGATCCATCCCCTCTACTCACTTAAAAATAGTAGACGGTTCGAATTTGCACGCAGATGTTTAAAACTGCTGGATATTTTGTTGCTAATCAGTTGCTGCAAAATAGCGTTGCTTATAGTATTTAATTATCAACCCTTAACTCCAGATCAGCACTGCAACCACCCCAGAATAGGACGATATCGTAAAATTCTCGTAGGTGGAAAAAAGACGCGGGATATTTAGTTGCTAATTAGTTGCTCGCCAAAAACGCAGACAAGAGTATCCTACAATCATCCCCTGACCTCAGAACGACCCCCTCTACTCACTAATTAGTTGCTCGCCAAAAACGCAATTAAGAGTAATCTACAAACATCCCCTAACCTCAGATGCAACCCCTCTACTCACTTAGAAACAGTAGATGGTTGGAATTCGGACGCAGATGTTAAAACTGCTGAATGTTTTGTAGCTAATTAGTTGCTCGCCAAAAACGCAGTTAAGAGTATCCTACAATCATCCCTTAACCTCAGATCCACCCCCTTTACTCACTAAAAAATAGTAGATGGTTCGAATTCTCACGCAGATGTTTAAAACTGCTGGATATTTTGTTGCTAATTAGTTGCTGCAAAATAGCGTTGCTTATATACTATAAGCAACGCTATTTTTCAGTAACAAATTATCCAGCAGTTTAAAAACTAAATATGCCGCGTCTATTTTCCACCTACGAGAATTTTCTGATATCGTCCTATTCTGGGGTGGTTGCAGGGATGATCTGGAGTTAAGGGTTGATAATTAAATACTATAAGCAACGCTATTTTTCAGCAAGTAATTAGCAACAAAACATCCAGCAGTCTTAAACATCTGCGTGCGAATTTCAACCATTTACTGTTTCTAAGTGAGTAGAGGGGTTGCATCTGAGGTTAGGGGATGTTTGTAGAATACTCTTAATAGCGTTTTTGGCGAGCAACTAATTAGCAACAGAACATCCAGCAATTTTAAACATCTGCGTGCGAATTCCAACCTTCTTCTGTTTCTAAGTGAGTAGAGGGGTTGCATCTGAGGTTAGGGGATGTTTGTAGAATACTCTTATCTGCGTTTTTGACGAGCAACTAATTAGCAACTAAATATCCCGCGTCTATTTTCCACCTACAAGAATTTTCCGATATCGTCCTATTCTGAGGTGGTTGCAGGGATGATCTGGAGTTAAGGGTTGATAATTATTTTTTTAAACAACGATATTTTGCAGCAACTAATTAGCAACAAAATACGCCGTAGTTTATATTCTGTCATGAACTCTTTTTAATTTTATCGTATTTCGGGGGTAGTGTGGGTGCTGGTGCGGCAATTAAGGGATGATGGGGGGATAATACAAATAATGCTGTCCTACAGCAACTAATTAGCAACTAAATATGCCGTTTGCAGAACTTCGATATTTTTACGAGAACCGAAGATACAGTATTGTGGTCTGCTAGGTTAAGACTTAATCTAGCAGATCGCTTGCATCTTTTACAGGTGTTGAGCAACTAAATCGGGAATAGTGTAACTAATTAGCAACTAAATACCCAGTAGGTTAGATGTGCGCGTCGTGACCATGGTCTGCTAGCTTAATATACGTCTGTAAATCGTAGTGGCCGCTCTAGGACCTTAAGTTTAAAACTTATAGGTTAGGTAAGTGATGTTTAGGTAATCAAATAAGTAATTACCAATTCCCATATTATTAACGTAATTAACGATTCCTGCTACCCCAACATATTTCATGTTTATACTTATTGTGCGACATCATATGTGTATGAAAAATAAATCTAAAGAAAATTTAACTAGAAAAAAGCCCATCGGCCCATGTTTCGGACTTTATTCGAACTCTCATCTTCTACCTATGCGGAAGCACAAACCAATTATATTGAATTTCCTCTAGAATTTCTTAGGCTGCAAGGCAGTGCAATCTCTTCGCAATGTAGGTAACCCACATATTAAACGAAATACCTTTACTCTAGTAAAATTTTCTTTAGATTTAAAAATCTAGCACGATAATTATAATAAGCTGTATGAAAATTATTTCAAGGCCTAAAAGATACCTATTGGCAGACCTTGCGGACTGGTTCCACGGTCTCATGCGAAAGGACAAGGAACTTTGGGGCTACAGACGTTACGACATGAAGTACGACCCCGTATTCCCGCTCAAAATAGCTCTGGTCAACCTTATTTCGCCGGCTTACCCATTCGGCAATCTTCATTGGGAAGCAATCGAAAAAGTGAGTAATGGAATAAAGGAGGAATTAGGAATAATAGTTAGAAATTGCTTATAGCGTTAAAATAAAAACACACATTTGATGCCACTGAATTTAATGTTGATCAATGAAAAACTATTACAGTAACTGAAAAATAGGTACTTAAAAAATATATATGCAAACAAAAATCAGTAACAATTTTTTTCAGCAGCCACAATAGGGTATTGACGGGGTACAGTAAACGAAATTCTATTTAGTCCGTCAGTTAGATGATCAAAAAATAATGGAGACTTATTTTTTCTTTGGGCAATCAACCAAAATATGGCAAAGTTACAGCGCGTCAAAGTTTCGGAGTATGGGCTCGTGACGTCACTTTTAAGTGAAAATTGTACCAAAACGTGACGTCATGCCACTTCAAATCAATATATCTCTGCAATGTTTATATTATGTGAAAAAAAATACGTGTCCAAAACTTTTTGATACCTACTTTGATACTCTACCTGATATCGAAAAAAAAAAAATAGGCATCATCCCTATTGGCGCGTAGTCGCGTCTAGATTTTGAAAATCGAACGCGCGTAAAGAAAAACCATAAAAACTAAAAACTTACGAAAGAGGTCGGTCTGTCGCCTACAATACTTTTCATGTTATAATGACCAATACGTACTTGACTCAAACTGACGGACTGATTGTAGTTGGGCGGATTGTAAATTAAGCCTTTGTCTTATTTAAGACCCAATGACCACGAGCTGAGTGTAGAATTATGGCTAAATTAAAGTCAGGCGCATTGAATAGAACGATTCATGTTCTTCAATGTAATGATTATAACAGTCTGGCAAATCGCAAAACGGTTCCGGTTTATTCAAAGACAAGGCGGTATTATAGATATTAAAGGGATTGTTACCATGTACCTTGTTTTTTATGAGTCTCCGATATTTTGGCACTGTTGCAAGCGCCATGATCACGATAATATCTATAATGTTAGTGACCATGAAAGTTTAAAACAGCATACAGTAACAATACGGCTGAATTTATAACATACCTGCGACATATACATAATATTATGTCTTTGAGCATTACTTAGAATTTACAAAAACTTTTAAACTTGGTAAACTTATCATCATCATCAGTGTATTGAGGCCCAGTGCGGATTGGTGGGGTCTAACGACTGCAGATGCAGCCGGGACCACCGGCTTAACGTGCCTTGCGAAGTACGTAGGAGCTCGAAATAGTCGAAGTCGTATTTTTGATCACCCATCCAATGTGACCGACACTACGAAAGTCGCTTAACTTCAACGATCGCAGCCGCACGTGCTAACCACTTGCGTCATCGAGCTCCTCGATAATCTTATTTAAATGAAAGTTAAATCACAATTATTGTTGATAACAGGAAGCCACGACGGACAAGTTTGAGAGCAACATACCAACTCTGGAAGACTTGGGCGTGAATCTAACCAACATGGAAGATCAAGTGCCATGGGAATTGAAACCTTTCCGTGCCTATCAATACTACATGGATAAAGTTGGAGAGTTCGCCAAACCCGAACCGCCGACGCCTCAACCATTCTAATTTCACGTAGTTGGGAATATCAAGCATCTACTTCCAATCAGTGGATTATTCTTGTGTCTCTTAACGATGAATTTACCAGATTTTGTTTATCCAATATTATGATAAACCATATTGTAATGGCAATGAGTGAACATTTACAATGGATTAGCAATTTTTAAATAAATTATTTTGATTGTTATGTTTGTATTTATGTTTATCTACTATATAAAAATAAGTGGGGTTTTCCTTCCTGACGCTATAACTCCAGAACGCACGAACCGATTTCCACGGTTTTGCATTCGTTGGAAAGGTCTCGGGCTCCGTGAGGTTTATAGCAAACAAAATTCAGGAAAAATTTTAAAAAAAAAATCGTTTTCTTTTAATCACAAAACGAAATGTTACATAAAACGAAGCTATCTGGTGGCGAAACGGAGTTCGCTGGGTTTGCTAGTCTTTATATATATAATTCTTCTGTGAGTGTGTATGTCACTGAACTTCTCTTAAACGACTGGACCGATTTTGATGAAATTTATTGTGTGTGTTCAAGGGGATCTGAGAATGGTTTAGATTCACAATTTTGTCCGCTGGACAACCCCTATTTTTTTAGGGCGGTACGAAGTTCGCTGGGTCAGCTAGTCCATTTATAAAAATGATTTTCGGTGGTATAGTGGTTAGTGCATCCGCCCAGAGCGGAAGACGCAGGTTCGAACCCTGCCTGAAACCCTTAGATTAAAACAAAAAGGGTAGATACGGTACGCTCATACTTGCATCCAGTGGCGGCGCTAGGCGTCGGCGACGTCGGCCACCGCCGACGGCCTCGCGCCTGAGGGGGCCTCGCAAAAAATTTTTACAAGTTACCTATTTATTTTCGATTCTCCTGGCCTGGCTTAGGTAGCCGACCCCGAATAATTCGGGGAAAAAGCTAAGCAGATGATAATGACTTTTATTATTTTCGAACACGTGCGTGATGGAAGCGAGTAGTACTTTACGTGTATTCAGAATCGCCTGTCTCGCAACACTATTTTTGTTATTAAATTTCTATGTTAGTAATTATTTTTTGTCATCGTTTGATTATCAACAATAAAACTCGTTTACTCATACGTTATTTTATAATTTGGCTCACTTAATTTAACGGTTTTTTACTGCGAAGTAAAATAGGCCTCGCGAACTTGATGTCGCCGACGTCCACATGTGGTCTAGTGCCGCCACTGCTTGCATCAAACAAAAACTGATTCCACGGCAGCACGGCAGAACAGGATGGCGACATTCGCGTCACTGCATTACCGGCCCGAACGTAACAGCACGTTAAGTTTCAACGGCAGCGCGAAGGAGACGGCGAGATCCGCGTCACTGCACTACCGACCCATCACGCGACCAGTACTCGACGTCACTACCGAATAAGATTCAAAACAAACAGCAACTTTTATGAAAATAGTACATTACGATACGCGTGACCTCGCTCCGCTCGGGCGCTAACTTCACGCCGTGCAATAATAGACAACTTAGGCCACAAGTATCGTATACTATTTTATAGCAAGTGTGACATAAACCCGCCCCGGACGCGGGCAAGAGGGGGAGGTTCGATGGATGCGATTAGTGTTTTGAAAGTAAAATTCATGTATTACAATCACAAAGAATTGCAATACAGACTGCAAGTCAAACTCTGAAAAGAAAGAATTCCGGTTCAGATTACCATTTTGAAAGTAATTTCAAAAGGAAAAAATCAAATATCATTACAACAAAATAGAATTTCAATGTATCCATGAACGTTTATTCCTTGATTGGCATAGTAAAGTTAAGTTACGCGTATCGTAATGTACTAATTTTACATGAGTGAAGTTGGTCAATTCATTTACACACCGTGCAGAAATAGGCAACTTAGGTCACGGAAATGCGTGCGTAAAGTGCGGGTTTAGGTCACGCTGTGCTATAAAATATATTTTATAGTACTTACGAAGGAAAAGTGATGCCGTGGGTTTTATTTTTAGTTCTTGAGCAATTTGAGCACTTTTTAAAAACACACTTAGGCATTGTTTTATCATATAAACACAAAATATTAGCAATATTTCTTTTTGGCGTTCACATGTACGTCGTTTGCATGTCAAGTTGTGACTAAAGCGATTTTAGGGAAGATGCAATATTTTTATTTTTGTTTTCATTTTAAAGAATTCCATGTAGAATAAACCACAGATATATTAAAAAATTAAAATATTGTGATTTATCGGAAAAAAGGCGGTTTTAAATTGATAATTTAAATTTTCGCGCGAAAACGAACCTATGGTTGCGATGACGTCACTCCTGTCTGTCACTGGTCGTACTTGTTCATTGCTGGCTTTAAATTTTCATACTTTTGCATATTTTTTCGAATTTCGAAATCTTTTTTTGAAAAATTTAAAATGGACTATCCGTCAACATCGTGTGACTCATGTTTTGTGCCAATCTACTTCAACAAAGTTCCCAAATAAATTGTTTTTCACTGGAACTTCTGACCCAAAACTGAAAAAAAGTGGTTTCAAGCTGCGAAGAGAAATGACAATTATTCTCCAAAGACCATTATTCGATGCTGAGAAGATCACTTTGACGTAAGGCGGCGAATATACTTGTTATATGCTTAATTAATCTGCTTGTACGTAAAAACGCATTAGTAACCTACCTAATACTTACAAAACCTGTCTATAACATATTTTTAATTTTACAGTTGGAGAATGACGTCGAAAATTAGATAAAGTTAAAAATGTGTGGCACAATCTTCACATTGGCAGGACTGAACCAAGCTTTGCGTTTCATTTAAAACAACTGTAACAAGATAACCTTCTTTACGAACTTTATGCTCCGGAGAACTCGACCTTTTACTGTACATAATTCTCCATCTCTTTTAATTTGGACATAGCCGATTGCATTATCGCCGTAAGATTTGTAGAAGCCGCTGAATAAAATACGAAGTTTAACAACTACGATTTTTACATACCGTAGTAATTTAGTCCCTTTCATTTCTACACTTAAAAACTCTGCACTTTGGACAAAAAAAGTTGTAACCATGTCAACGCTAACTCTTGGTAAATTCCTGGAGTCTGCTTTGATAAACGCAACTTCCATTTTTATTAAATGTAAAAAAACGCAATAAATATTCCCATAAAATAATATTTACTTTAACAACCATAATCTCAAAGAAGTTGTCATAACAGGAGTGACGTCACTAAACGCTGATTGGTGTTTTAAAATACGTTCCGTTTCAAGTATTTTTAATTCGTAATAATTGTTAAAAAACAACATTATGTAAAATAAAAACGTTGCAGTGACATTTCTTTTATATTTTTTTAACATTTTAATCATAAAATTTTCATAAATATTATATATGCATCTTCCCTAGGTGAGGCAAGTGCCGTATCTACCCTTTTTGTTTTAATCTAAGCTGAAACCAGAGTTAATTTTTTTCCAGTAGCAAAAAGGATTTTTCGAAGTCTACTTACGGACGATAATTTTAGGTAAAAACGTTTACATTTATAACGTGTCGTTCGCTGTTTTCCTGGGAGCATTTTTATGGGACTTTTTGTTCCGGTTCGTTTGGGCCCAAGCACGCCTCTGTAGATCAATGGGGGCCCGAGTTAATTCAGAACTATATTTATCTTACGTATTATGTTATGACGCCATCGGTTTCATACATTTAGTTCGGTTAGAACTATACTTGTGTGTCGCAATATGTCGACAGTGTTCTCGTGGTGCGATTACAGTTAGTCGTTAGACCGAATACGAGTTCCAAATGAATTAGGGTAAACGACTAAGTGTAAATGAACGGAGTCGAGTATGCCCGTATTCGGGTAGTTTTTGTCCCGACAGGTTACCCGTAACCTACGGGTAACCTGTCGGGACCGAGTCGGTCCTTGTTTCGTTCTTCCAGCCCGAATTCCATGTTTAATACTTTTGTAAAGGTATTAATTTGACATTGTGGGTTACCTACAATGCGAAGAGATGGCGCTGCCTTGCAGCCTAAGAAAGGTCAGAGGAAATTCGACACGGCCATCAGGGCCGCGGTAGCATAATGGTCAGTGCATTCGCCCGGATAGCGAAGGGTGCGGGTTCAAATCCCGTTTGCTGCCAGGTCCGCGTAGTTTTTTTTAGATTTAAATGCTTAAAAATATATCTAAACTTGCTAGTACTTCTTTCAAATGTATAATACTTGTAAGGGTATTCTTTTGTCATTGTGGGTACGAAGAGATGGCGCTGCCTTGCAGCCAGAGAAAATTCATCACGGCCATCAGGGCCGCGGTAGCGTAATGGTCAGTTCGGCCGGATAGCGAAGGGTACGGGTTCGAATCCCGTCTGCTGCCTGGGGTCCAATCGCCTTAAGGGATGACTATCGCTATCGCATACGATTTCGTTTTGTTTTTTCAGACCGCGAAGATTCCGCGTTCTTAATTTTTCTTTTGCTTTAGTAATAACAATATTAAAGAAAACGAGCGTGAGGTATTTGAAAACCTTGAAATAAAATGAAATAGTAAGTGACAGCGATAACAATAGCAATCTAGGCGATTGGCTCCGTCCGCGTGGATTTTTTTTAACAAATTTTTCTTTAAACAATATTACTATTAAAAGTTAGTTATTTGGAGCTTGTGTATTAAGGGAATCAGAAAAAAAATACTATAATATAATCAGCTATACCCGAGAAAATAAAAAAAATATATAAGTTGATCCGACCGGGGATCGAACCGGGTACTGCCTGCCTTGTTTTTGTGATAGATATAAAAATAATGAAAAAACTACGTGACGTCGTTGACGTTTCAACCGAAATGACCCCAATTTTGTAGAAGACACTCTTTTGCCATTATGTTATCTTAAAGTGATATATCTACATGTTCCTCAAGATTTACCCGTGTCAATGATGTGAAAAGTAGGTATTTATTTGCTTTATTACCAAATACAATTCATTTTGTACGGACAAATAGATGGCGGGCGGGACTAAGCAGTGTTTCCGGACCAATACGACCCAAAAACCTTTAAAAAAAGAGCGTACTCCTTCCTTAAAGGCCGGCATCGCATTTGTGATACTCCTGTGGGCCAATCGCCTAACCAGATTGCTTTGGAAAACGCTATCGCTTACTATTTCATTTTGTTATTTCTAACCGCCGAAATACCTCACGCTCATTTTCTTTAACATTGTTATTACCAATGCA